GAATAAGAATAATAAGAATAATAATAAGAATAAGAATAAGAATAAGAATAAGAATAAGAATAAGAATAAGAATAAGAATAAGAATAAGAATAAGAATAAGAATAAGAATAAGAATAAGAATAAGAATAAGAATAAGAATAAGAATAAGAATAAGAATAAGAATAAGAATAAGAATAAGAATAAGAATAAGAATAAGAATAAGAATAAGAATAAGAATAAGAATAAGAATAAGAATAAGAATAAGAATAAGAATAAGAATAAGAATAAGAATAAGAATAAGAATAAGAATAAGAATAAGAATAAGAATAAGAATAAGAATAAGAATAAGAAGAAGAATAAGAAGAAGAAGAAGAAGAAGAAGAAGAAGAAGAAGAAGAAGAAGAAGAAGAAGAAGAAGAAGAAATAAAGATTTTTATAGAATCCATGGTATTATCAAGACTATAAACCTATGCATATTTAGGAGATCACACTCACAGGTCAGAATCCTGTTGGTTAGTTAAACCGCCGCACGTGCAGTGGCATGAACTGCAGAAGCAAATTGCAGCTAATTAACAAGTCACCACTTGCATTCCTTGCCACATGCCAGTTGCATGAGTTGGTGCATGAGAAGGAATGCAAGCGACAACCTGTCGATTAGTGCCACTTCAGCAAGGCAATTCACACTCCTGCACTTTCATTGCTGCACTTCACTAGTGGGATTCTAGTCATCTTCCTGAAGATTTTAATTGTATTTTAATTGTATTTTAATTGTATTTTAATTGTATTTTAATCATTTTATCTTTTATTGTATTGAACTTTAATTGTTGTGAGCCGCCCAGAGACCTCTGGGTAGATTGGGTGGCATAGAAATTAATTAATTAAATAAAATAAAATAAATAAAGAGTCTTTTGTGTAGGTAGAACTGGGGCCTAATGTTACATTTCATTATCTAGAACAGACATTCTCAACCTTATATTTTTGGCCATGACCATAAACGTTAAGAAATATATATAGGCTGAATCAGGATTGTGCAGGTCGCATAACAAACTTTATAAGAACCGAGTATTTGCATTTGATGCCAATATTTTTGTATACCTCTGTATATTTATATATTCCGAAGTTTTATTTGTGGCTGATCTTTGACCGTAATAAAGTTTTATCTATCTACCTTATAAGGTAGTATGTGAAGAATTGTTTCCTGTCTGTGCCCCCCTTTTAAATAAATAAATAGATAGATAGATAGATAGATAGATAGATAGATAGATAGATAGATAGATAGATAGATAGATAGATAGATAGATAGATAGATAGATAGATAGATAGATAGATGCCCAGGACATTTAAAAAAAGGTACCACATAAGCAACAGTCTTATGTGGTACCTTTAACTTGAAAAAAATCATAGTAAAATGAGGACGGTTGGGTGTTTGACTGAAGCAGTCTCACCCCAAAACCTTTTCCCTCTGTGTCCCGCCCTCATGCCTTGTCAGTCACCCCCCCTCTCTGCCTTGTCACCCCAAAACCTTTTCCCTCTGTGTCCCGCCCTCATGCCTTGTCAGTCACCCCCCCTCTCTGCCTTGACGCCATGAGCTTACGTCAAGGACTCATCCTTTCCTCCCTTTCCCCCATTGACGCCTCTGCTCTTTCCAGGGCTTTATCTCTCGCACCCACACCCCACCTCAGACAGCTCAGTGTGGCACAGGAAGGGAGGCAGCTAATTGCGCCCCCCTCCCCCCGCTCATCGCTGGTCACCTGGCCCCTCCTCCTTCATTCATCTCAGGCCAGCAAACGGTTCTAAGAACCAATAGTACATTTAGGAATCGGTTCTATAGAATAGGTGCGAACCTGCTGAATCCCACCTCTGCTTATAAGGTAGTATGTGAAGAATTGTTTCCAGTCTGTGCCCCCCTTTAAATATGCCAGGGCCATTCATGGGGCCATATGCCCCCCCATTGAGAATGCTTGATCTGGAGAAGCTGCAGGCATGTAGAAAAGCACAGCTGTGATGACAACTACTCTGAGATTTTGACAGTTGTGGGAACAATATGTACCATTTCCCAAATCTATGTAGTGAAACATATAAATGTATTTTAAAATCATAACCAAGATATCAGAAAAAGAAACAATGCCAGTTTCAAAATCTGTACTCTGAAAATAAAAGTAATATGAGATGTAAGCTGGCTTTATAGATGTTAACTCAGTCTCCTGGTTCCAACAGAAGTTGCCTTTGAACTTGCAAAACCTGCCAAGAATTTCAGATACTGTGACTGGAATCTCTTAAATAGAAACAAAACATTGACGATGGATTTAACATGCTTCTGCTTGCTTAAGCTCTCACTGGTGGTACATTTGCCAGTTGGAACAAACTGTTTAATAATAAACATGAAGTTTTGACAGTTTTGTTCTCTACGTTGACAGGAAACATGTATATAAGGTCCAATCTGCAAGGTTCACTAAATATAATACTGTATATTAAATATATTATATTATATAGGTCATGGTGTGGAGGCCATTGCTATAAGATAAGTAGGATAATTTCTTTTATATTACACACACACTGCCCAGGACTTATACAAATATATGTAACGTACATGTATATGAATGGCATTCACTGTGTAAAGTACAGCATGTACACTTTGACAGAATTCTTTATTTGACCGCATTCTTGAAACAGCCACACATTTTTGTTCAGAAAAAATATATTAGTTTTCCTCATCATTTATATAAATAATCACAGAATTCCTCAACCAGTAACATTTTGGTTAAGCAAAGCAATATGATGCATAATAAGCTATTTTTCAAAGTTTCTGGTACACTGAATAAGCTTGTATTTACTGAAATTGAAATACACCTCCTTTTAGGATGATGGATAGGAACCAGACCATAAAAGTAACATGTTACAAGTAGCAGTATTATTAACTATAATGCATTACTTTTGGAGTAATGATGTAATCAAGATGTTTTAATTTTTAAAAGCAATATAATATAACAACAATAATATTGTTACTTTTTTGCGTATATTTATTAATACTTACCTTACATTCTAAAACATTTGATGTAGGGCAATTTTTGTAGTTTTAAGTGTATTTTTTAAATACACCCCCACACCCCCACACACAAACACAGTATTTAAAGTAACTGAAAAGCAATTAGTTAGAAATGAGACAAGGAAGTTTTGGTGATCATCTTAAAAATTCCATATGCTGCTCTCAAACGCTCCCTTGGGATCTGTTTCATCATGGGAGAGCCACTGGAACTGTGGGACAGGAGGGGGTCCTTAATTTCTCAGAATTGCCTTTGTGGTAAAGACACCCCAGCAGCAGCGATTTTTGGAAATTAAATACTTCCAACAATCCCATGGCTCTCAACAGTGAAAGAAAATCCCATTGGAGCACTAGGACCTTTAGGAGGAAATCTGAAATTTTTAATTTCCAGAACAACAATGTGGCTGATGTCATCAACCCTACCTAAATTATACTCCTGGATTTCTATGAACGATTTCCTGAGTAAACCCCACTGGTCCTAGTAAGACTTACTTTAGAGTCAACATGTAGAGAGAAGCATGGACCTGGTGTCATTCCTGTTTTATTTTATTCCAGATTCCCCCTCCTATTCTGCAATGTGGGTTCTGGAAGAAGGTCCTGAGATTTCATCTTCTTAAATTTTTTGTAACAGAAGGACTTTTACAAGTGTCAGCCTAAGATACTTTTCTTCATATCTTATCTGCAGATGGTTCCATTTCTATGCGTGCATGCGTGCGTGCTGCTTATATACCGCCCCATAGTGCTTCAAGCACTCTCTGGGCAGTTTACAATTTAATTATGCAGGCTACACATTGCCCCCCCAGCGAGCTGGGTACTCATTTTACCAACCTTGGAAGGATAGAAGGCTGAGTCAACCTTGAGCCGGCTACCTGGGATTTGAACCCCAGGTCGTGAGCACAGTTTTAGCTGCAGTACAGCGATTTAACCACCGCGCCACGAGGCTCCTTTCTATGACTTCTCTCCCTTGTAAAAATATGTCCAATTATAAAATGTAACTGTAGATTTTCACAGCTGTTGGTGACTGAGAAAGACGATGTAAAACGCCCCCATAGCCTTACCTACACATTTGATGCTGGGAATTTCATAATAGGTTTTATTAATTACACAGCCAATAATTATATGAAATGCAGTTTCCTCAGTGGCTGAATTGTACACTCCTACATCCTTGCTCTCGAAAGTCCCCTGGATTGCAAGGAGAACAAACCTATCCATTCTAAAGGAAATCAACCCTGAGTGCTCACTGGAAGGACAGATCCTAAAGCTGAAGCTCCAATACTTTGGCCATCTCATAAGAAGAGAAAGCTCCCTGGAAAAGACCCTGATGTTGGGAAAGTGTGAGGGCAAGAGGAGAAGGGGATGACAGAGGATGAGATGGTTGGACAGTGTCATCGAAGCAACCAACATGAATTTGGCAGAACTCCAGGAGGCAGTGGAAGACAGGAGGGCCTGGCGTGCTCTGGTCCATGGGGTCACAAAGAGTTGGACACGACTAAACGACTAAACGACAACAACAACATCCTTGTTTAGTTCTAACACTCTTGGGCCAAAAAACTATAGAATTTGGGGTTGGGGGTTACCCTTCTCTTCCTGTTCTTGGCTTAGGCATGGGCAAAGTTGCTTAATCCATAGTTATATCTGAATCAGGGAAGTGGTGTTTAATGCTTGCATACTAACTATGATGTAAAGCCATCATGAGCAATCGTGGTCAGATACAATGGGAACCTGGCTTAAGCAAGCCACAATCTCAGCATCAAATGAAGGAACAGGAAGTAGATATTCCTGGATGAAATAGACAACCAAAATGCTTATTCTTAGTCCGGACTGTTTGGCCTCATATTCTTATGCATGAATTTGAGTTTAGAAACAAGGGAGTTTCTTCCCCCAAATGAGATTGTACTTTAAATACAACCGTTAAACCTTATGAGTGACACATTTTTAGCAAGACCCCACTACTGAGATTTCTGATGAGAACATGATGAGACTGTCAAAGCACAAAGCAGTTGAATTTAGAGTCTATTTATTTCTCTCCAGACTCTCTCTTTAGAGAAGTCAATAAAAAAACAGGCAATTCAGGTCATTCCCTAATGGCATTAAACTTGTTGAATAAGAATAAGGAACCCAACAGAAAGTGACCCTATTGACGCACTTTTGTGATTATTCTGTCTTTGCACCAATCCTTTGCAATGATTTACCTTTGCTAAATTCTACCTTTGATTATTAAATCCAAAACAGATCAGCATTTGACAATCTGATATTTAACTGGCCAGAAACATCAGTGAGTAAATTTTATTTCCTGGTGCATATACGGCAGTATACATTTGTTCAGTTAACACAAAAATGGGAGGTAGTGTTGTGTAGTGGGTAGAATGACAAACTACGACTCAGGAGACCTGACTCTGAATCCTCCTTGGCCATGGAGACTCATGGGTGGGTGGTTCGGAATGGTAGAACCACTCCTTAAATATCTCACACACCTTATGATAGCTGTAGATTGGCTGTGAGTTGATGGCACATAACAACTTTAGACAAATACTAATTTGTGTAAGCAAATCAGGTAGACTTAAACCAGTTTATTTTAATTAGTTATTTATTTGATTTTTATACCACCCATTTGGCTGCCAAGGCCACTCTGGGTGGTTTACCTTAAATAAATTGTGGGCTCGATCACACGTGCCAAAAGAACCCCAATTATACCAATTGTGCCATTATTTAGATAATTTCAATTTTTTCCATTCACACCACGCACAGCTAACATTGATTCATTTGTTTCACCAACCAGTTTATTTCCTCCTCACTGGCAAAGTTGTTTTGAAATGTACTGATCACGTATTGATGGAATTCATTTCAATTCTGCATATGAGGACACAGCTGTTGATTTATTTCCTTTTTGAAAGGGTTAGGTTTTGGGGCATTGTCGCCACTTCATGGCTGCTGCACTTGTGCCCTTTTTAAAAAAAATTACAGGTGTGTCTGAAAATTGTTTGTTGTAGCAACAGCAGCCACAACAACAACAACAACAACAACAACAACACAGGAATACATTGCTCAAAAGGAGAAAGCATGACCCTCTTCCCTTGCAAGTAGGAAAGAGGGCATGAGTCAAGAAAGGGCCATTCCCTGCTTGAGATTATTTGAGTGGGGAAAAGAAAGAGGTGTTGGTATTCATCAATATATCAATAAGGTTTTTTTAAATTAAAGGGTGGGTATGGCCAGCATCGCCCCAGCATCACCATAATAAAAGAATCTATTAAAAATACCTGCCCAATGTAGTCTGCCAAAATGGTTCAAATAGCTGGGAATGAAATGATTCTTTTCACAACAACATGAACGTACCTATCGACATATAGACACGAGATGAATACATTTTAAAATGCATTGATTCCAAAGAGGGGTGAAAATAAAACGATTATTTTGTCACATGTGATTGAGCTCTGAGTCAAGAAGTACTTGTGGGAAAACCTCAATGCTCTATCACAGTCTCCCATAATCTTCCAATCTCCATGGCAATTGACAGTGTTGACTAAGGATGGCTGAATATGTAGACAAACATATCTAGCCTCCACTAGGGTTGGGAAAGGCTGACCTGCCTTGTCTCCTGAAACATGAACCACAGAAAATGTAGTGGCAAATCTAATAACCAGTGATCCAAAAACTTCTATTGACTCCCTTAAAATCTGTCTGTGTTTGATTACTCCAACATGTATAGCACAACACAGAGCAAGTAAAAAAAGAACTGTGTAAATGGCAACTACACAGGACGTTTCTGCACTTACAGCGGTGTAAGAATAATATATACCTTTGGAAGTATCTGGTGGTATCAAAATGCCAGCCCTTGCAGCAAACAATGTGTTTTTGGTTGCTACTGAAAGGGAATCAAATGGAAATAAAAAATCTGCTTTGGCCAAATTGCAAGCATTTAGCCTTCAGAAGCTATAATTGTATAAGCTGTTGTACGGCAGTTCCCATCTCACTTGGCAGCTTTCCTCACAGTTCCAGAGAAACAATTCTGCACCTCTCGCCATGTAGTCTGCTTACCACTTGGATCAGCACAAGCATGAAGAATAAAACTGGGCCAAAGAGTATGCTGCCAGAGTCTCAGAAAAGCAATTCTAGATCTGTGTTCTAGCTCTACAGAGAGCAAAGCTGGCAAAAGTAAATGGAGATGGAACTCCAGTAAACTGGGAATAATAGATGAGCCCATAACCCTATGCTGGGAGTGAGGGAGAAGATGCCACAATGTGACCAGGAAGGAAAAATATAACCATACGTGGCTATATATACAGAAGGAGCTGGTTGTTCCACAGCCAGAGAGTAAACACATGAAAGTAACAATGTCCACAGACATTGGGGAGGATTATTTATGATTCTGCCATTGTGGACTCTGCTTCCCTTTGTTGCCAAGGACTGTACCATATTTCAGGAAGAAACATGGACCAGTAACAAAGTTATTTGACACAGGGCTCCAAATACCCATTTAACCCTCCTCAAGCACATCATTACGTAATACACAGTGAAATGGCATCCCTGGTTTTCTTACAGCAGCTATATATACCCATGATAAATGTCTTGATTTAATTGACTTTCTCAAGAACAATACTACCAGTTATATGGAGCCGTAGTGTATTTTTTGCTGGTCATCTCTTATTTCATGAGAGCTCCACTTCCAAAACATTATTCTATAGTCTGTCACAAGGGTGCTTCAGTAAAGACAGCAATAGAAACGTGCTGTGCCAGGTACAGAGGCAGGAGTAAAAGCAAGGTAAAACCAGCGGTGCTCAAAAAATAAATGACTTTTTTAATAAAAAAAATTAAGCTTATGAAAGCAGTCTGTAGCACACATACTTTTCAAAGGAACACCAAGTCCTTAATTTCTTTGGCCTTCCAGCATACGACTTGTAAGGCAGCTTTCTATATTAGAAAACAACTTTTATTCTTTATCCACCTTGGAGAAAGCATTTGCCCGGAGAACCTCCATGCAGTTGACTAAAATCAGAGCACCGGTCAGTTCTCGCCATTGTTTGGTCACAGGGTTTTTCATTTTGTCCAATGCAGATTGTAGATCTTGCAACATATCTCTGTAGCTGTCTCCATAGTGAGCTCCCCAGGTGTACAGAAAATCATATGCTGGTTTCCACATCATCTGCAGTTGAATATATATTAGATAAGAAATATTAAGATTCACAGGAATCCCAACAGCATCTACAAAATTTTGGAAATGCCATAATATTTATAGATTTCATATCTTATCTGCATTTCTTCTCTAAAATGGGCTCCATTCACAAGAGTCTACTCTACAGTTTAGTTTTTGCATCTGGTCATCCACTCCACAAGTAATCTTTGTTTCACACAATACAGAATTAGTTCTTAGGGTCTGGAAATTTGTTCCTATTAGAATGGTCAGTGTCCTAATTTAAAAGGTCAGTTCTCTATCTGAAAAATGCATTTTAGAGAACTTCTCTCAAAAGGATCATACACCTTCATAGATGGAATACAAGATATGTAACAGGCAGGTAGAGATGAAAGCAGAGGTCACTTATAAGTATCATAAAACAGGATCTTTTAATGAAATAATATAAAGAGCAACTTTCTAGCAGAACAAACAAGCAAGCAAGCAAACAAACAAGCACCACACTATATGAGATTATAGGTTACACCATATGTGCAGCATGGGGATCACCTGAGGGAATCTGGAGCTATCTTCCTGCTGCACTGAACACAGACCGATGACACAGATTTCTGCCAGGAGTGGCTAATCGACTGTGAGCTCCAGAGCGATAGAAGGGAGCACAGAGCCCGCAGCAGCAGCAGACGGTGAGTGGGTGGTCCGGCTTCGGGGGCTGGACCCTCGTTATGTCCACCCGTGGACATAATATGAATACCCCCATCTCTGTCTGGGCTTCTTCCAGATGGAGTGGGGATATGGGGCTGGACTTAGGTGTATGCCCCTTGGACCCACCACTCTTTTAGTCCTACATGTATTCAGACACACAGCCGGACTAGGGCTAAAGTGTGGATAACCCAGAAACGATCTTGATCAGGGGACAGAACACAGCTTCAAAATCTGGTATCTATCTTCCAGAATTTGTAGTGATCCTGACAGACAGGTGCAGAATGGCAATGAAAAAAACTTTTAGAGATGGGACAGTCAGACAAAGTGACCAATTCAAGTTTCTTCCTTTTTGAAGCTGCAACAACAGCAATGTTAGTGGGGGCATCAGCCAACAACGGAAAATTATAAGAATAGCACAATGAAAAGAGGCTGAATTTGGAAATGAAAAAAATAAAATATTTCACCATATGAACATTTCAGTATGCATTCATTTTCAAGACTGTACCTAGAAGAGTGATGTGAACAGCAAAGGAGCCAACAATACATTGTTTCAAGAAACTGTTCTAAAAAAAGGCTGCGCCTGTGGCTTCTATTTTTAAAAGAAATCAATCACAACACATTTAAAGTTCATCTTAAAAACCACAGGTGGAACGCAAGATTAGCAATGACAGCACAAAGATGGAATGCCACCACAATCCATGACGGTAACTTAAAATTCAGACAGCTGGTGTAAAGCAGTGACCTTGAACCTGCTGCTCTTGAGCTTCCTGGATCAAATGTGCCCAATTAAGCTTGATTTGCAATAAAGATGGCTTCCTGGATGTCACTTTTGCAAACTCAGCCTACATGGTGAAAGTCAAACTGTGCTTGTGCCTTCTCATTGAATTTCCAAATAGGACTTGAGTAAGAGGAAACGAGACCAGTCTTACCGCTACTGGACTTAATGGAGCTAGAAGCAGCAAAATGGCCAAAATAAAAGGTAGCCCAATAGGGATGGGATAAGCAAACATGGTTTTCAAAGGCAAGCTTAAATATTTTCTCTGAGGAGGCAGCTCATGGTGCAGCAGAAACTGGGCTCTTTATCCTTTCCCCAAGATAACATTCTTCTACATAGAATCTAGACAAATTGCCATTACAGTGGTGCCTCGCTAGACAGTTACCCCGCATGACAGTTTTTTCGCTATAGCGATTTCCAAAACAGTGATTCCTATGGGGGAATCCTTTTGCTGGACAATGTTTGGCCCCTGCTTCGCAAACCAATTTTCGCTAGACAACTATTTTGACAGCTCCCTCCGTGCTCGCAAAATGGGTGTTTTCGGGACCTCAGCTTCGCAAGATAGCTATTTAAACAGCTGATCGTCGGTTCGCAAAGCGGCTTTCCTAAGGCCGATCTTCTCTAGACGACGATTCTTTCCCATTGGAACACATTAGACAGGTTTCAATGCATTCCAATGAGGCAATGCTTTTCGCTAGATGATGATTTCGCTAAACAGCGATTTCAGTGGAACAGATTATCATCGTCTAGCGAGGCACCACTGTGCAAAAGAAGCTGCCCTTACAGCCCTACGTCTGTACCCCAAGGCTCCAGCATAAGAAAAGGAAGAAGCCACTAAGGACATCTTTAAAGTTCAATGCTATTTCTCTGGTCCTAGGATCCTAAGGTTGGCTGTGCCAGCTCTTCTCAATGAAAGCTGAAGTGCCTGAAAAGTTACCCACTAGAAGGGCAATTCTCCTATTTTCTTTTATTTTAATGGTGTTATGGAGGGCTCTGAGGGAAACAGAAGAGAGCTTGGGAGGGCTGCATGATTCTCATCTCTGGTGCAACAGATCCTCATTTCCAGTGCAAGAGATTAGGGAAATCTGCCAAAATGGGATGGATGGGGCTCTTCCAACAAAACTGCCGTGAGACTGAGTCGTTGCTGCTGCTGTTGTAGTAGTATGCCATCAAGACATTTCCCGCTTATAATCATAGGTGACCATGAGAAGTGAAAGAAACAAGAAACCCTGAATCTCAGCTGGAAAGGGTTGAATTCTAAATATGAAACAAAGTGGACTATCCTGCTCCCAAACAGTCTGGTCCCAAGGGCTAGGTCTGATGCACATATAGCAATAGGCCAAAAGAGTCCAGAATCACAACCAAGGAAGGAAGGCAGAGATATAGCAGCAGCAAAGCAGTCCTACAAGGTAAGCTAGGTGCAGGAGACACAAAGCCAAAGTCCAGGAACAATCATCCATGGTCAAGCCAGTCTAGTAGTCACAGCAAAGAAACGGAGAATTTAAGAAGTGTTGTCCAGCCAGTCCTTCATGACATATACAGCCAAGGAGTCAACAATAAGTGTCAGGACAGAAGGAAGGAAAGACCTAGAGAAGTCTTTGCTGCATCCAAGGAGGGCTTCTAGTCAGACTTGCAGCTTCATCCTGTGGTGCTCTCCTTCAACGAGAGTTCATCTTGCCACCACCTCCACCTCAGACACAGAGCTACCTCCATTGAGGGTTCAACCTCCTGGACTCCCAAGGGTCTAGGTTGAGCACTAAGACACTCTCCTGAGGATTCTGCTTTCTCTGCCTCCAACGGTCCAGGATCTTTCCTGAGTCAGGTTGAGGAACTGCCCATTCTAGCCTGTCTTTGCTGCACGATTCCTCTAGCAGGGTTACGATGGAGGGAAACACATTGTACCATCACCAGAGTCCTGGGTGATACATTTTTCATGCTGAGGAACAAAAGGTAGCTTTTGGGAGGTTGCAAATAATTCATTTAATGTTTCACAGTGAGAATTTAATATCATTGTGGCCAGTGATACAGGGGTTCTAAGACAAATGACTCTGAATAAAAATGCCACCATCATCAAAATAAGAGACTATTATGCATTCTAATTCCTTTTGTGACAAATTATACTTTGTGCAGAATGCAAGGTTTCTCCTAAATTCTAATTTTCCTGCAGGGTTTAAAATCTGTGTTATTTTAAAGTAATTTTTTGTCAATATTTACATGGCAGCCTCGTGACACCTCAGAGAACTGCATCAATAAATCTGAGCAGCTACAGGGCACTCTAAGCCACTGAATGGAACAACATAATGATTAGCTTTTTCTTTGGTCAAAGCACTGCGAAAATCAATTTTTACAACAAATCCCTTTTGTAGACTCCAGTACTGCAAAAAAACATTTAAGATTGTCGTTGTTCTCATACTAAAGATATACCCTACACCTTCAAGACCATAATATTTTCAAGATGGCTTATACTCAACATGAAAAAGGAGCCAGAAAAAAAATTGCTATGAAACACGTAACACACACACAACATAGACCTCTCTTTGTGTATCAGGATTACATAGTTACAGCAGCTTGATACTACTTTAACTGTTATAGCCCTTACTGGTGACATCCTTGGATTTGTAGTTTGAAATTGTAGTTAGAATTCTCTGCTAAGAAGCAATAAAGCACTCCCCTGACATATATTAGTAGTGCTCAGTAGCACAGAATTCTAAGACTGCATCTACAGTTTCTACTCAGTTATAGCAGTTTGATCCCAGTTTAACTGCCATGGCTTCATGCTATGCCATTGCAGGTTTATTGTTCGGTAAGATACTCAGAATCCTCTGTTACAGGAGATCTAGAGTTGCAGTTGCGTACAGTGAACAAGGAGAAATGAAAATCTGGAAATATAACAAGAGGAAAGAAAACTAGCCAGTTTTACAAATGTGTAAGGCTAAAGAAAGACATTTTGAAAGTCTCAGATAAACACCCTTGACTGGTTTTGGTCATTTTTCAAAAACCTGCACAACCTGTTTGAATTAAAGCAACATTTGGAGCAAAGAAACGTTACATACTCAGCACGCAACAGGATTCCTTCTTTCAAATCCCTCTTAAAGCTATTGCCAGTTTCCAGCCTAAAATTGTATTGCAACAACAGTGTAAGATCACGAAACCTCACCTCTGGAGGTACATCACCATTTCTTCCCCAGTGTGGGGATTCATAAGCTTCGATCTGTTGCTTTGTGAGTCGGGCTAATTTTTCTGCCACTTCTCTCCAGCCTTTCCCAAGCTTTACAGCTGATGTGAAAATGACAGCATCTTGAGTAATGCGGGCTAGTAATCCTTGGCAATCCATCTTGAGAAGTGCCTGCAACCACAAGTTTGATCATGATGTTCCCAACAAAATAATTACTATGTGCTAGGTAACAATTTAGAAGATTAGTAGGCAAGAAACATTCTTTGTTTCTGTAAGTTATCTAGCAAACAACTTCCTGGTGCCTTGTACTACCAAACAGCTTTCAGAAACAATTATTTTAGGCACCAATCCATCAGGGCTTCAACAAGCTAAATGTCTGTATTATATTAGCAATATTTTACTGCTATTTAAAAAAATATGAAAGAAAATATATACAATTGCTGGATACCTACCCACAACATGAATGAATAAATGAATGAATGTACAAGTGGGTTATAAGGAAGCAAATATTAGTTAAATAAGGCAAAGAGATAAAACAGATTTAACCTTAACCACGGTATTCAAGGTGACGAATCACAGACAATATACTCAAAGTCACAAAATATTGTTGAGAAATGAAGAATTTATATCAGTTTTATTAAGAGCAGCATGAATTGTCAGAAAAGTCATATTCATCCATTCTCTATGAGAATTCTCATATTCATAACAACCAGACACTTGAAAAAGCACACTTCTCCCCTCAACAACACTGGTTTTAGGGGTGCAAGACCCCTATGAAGTTCAAAATCCATGTATAACTTTCAAGTCCACCAAAACCTAACTACAAAGCATAAACAGTTGAGACTGGAGAGAGAGAGAGAGAGAGAAGGGCAGGCAGCTAAAGGACAGGAAAAGCTGCTATCAGTGGAGGGAAACAGAGGCGCAGTCTCTCCTCCCCACCACCCATGGAGCAGCACACCACAATCATCTCTCCTAATCTGCATCAGCCTACCAGCATGCCCAGCATCCTCCTCAGCTGGCAAAACTGTGTACTGTATAACCAAAACCTTTGCTGCTCAAATCTGTGCAATTCAGGGGGAAAGTGTAGTTCACAAACTCCAGTCCTCTTCAGGAGTTACTGAGCTGAATCTTTACAACGCAGGAGCAGAGAAGTGCTTTGTCCCTCTCTGTTCTCCCCTTTGCATCACTTTCCACTTGGAAAGTGACATATTTCTAGAAGAGAGGTTCCTGCTTATGTGTAGGATCCCCATGCAAGCATAAACCCTGATTCTCCTTTATATTTAATTCAGTGAAAACAAACCCATGTCTCTCTTTTGTACTATAGGGCAAAAATACCAATTCTGAATCTCATGCCTGACCTCTATGAATAAGGAATAAGCAAGGCCACTCACAGAATACATAACACTCCCAGTACAAACAACATTAAAATAAAAGTATTGTTAAGAAGCACACAAAGTGAAGACAAAATGAAAAATCCCTATTTAGAAAATACAATCTCCCCCAAGCTTTTGTTGTTTTGAGTTTGTTTCTGTTATCTCTCATCCAAAAGCCAGAACTGAAAAAGCGTCAAAACTAAGGGAGTTTTCCAGCTTCACTGCCATGGTGCCAACATGAGATACTGTTCCCAAAATAAAAAGAGTGTTATACATTTGTGTTGTCCATTGCTTTGTCTACCTTGTCACTGTCACAAGTTGTTTTCCCTTGTTAAGATTATCAGTCAAATACACCAGTACAGCCTCATTCAATTTTGTCTTGCTGTAGCTCTTATAGATTAGGGTGGGGAATATGTAGCCCTCCAGATGATCTTGGATTATAAAGCCCATCATTCCTGATCACTGGCTATACCAACTGGGACTAGGGGCTGGAATACAGCATTATCACAGGACTCTCTCACCTGGGAATGATGTAACCCAACTGAAGGGGTATATGAGAACGCCAGTCGATTCAATGGAATATCCATCACCAGGGCAGAAATACATAACTTTAAACATATGATACCTACCACAGAAATATAGGATTCTTGAACAAGCAGAACACTCTAGGAGAAATCATGGGTTGATGCAAAACAAATGTCAAAGAGTCATTTGTATAACAATGCACATGCTGGACCTAAAATCAGACAGCTTCTCATAATGTCTAGCTCAGCCTCCTATGACCTCCCGACAGGTCCTCCATTCACCCCAGCATACAGTGCAGAGGTGTTACACATAGCTGCGGTTACGGATCACAGACAGTGATATTCATTAATTATGCATTCACGCTTTTAAAGTCTTTCAGTCTTTGCTTTCAAATTTGGTGGGTTTTTTTTTTCCGTCCATCAGAAAAAAGTAGATTTTTTTAAAAGGAGCTTTACCAAGAAAGGCACCTGAATAATAAGGCCAAATATAAAGCTCTAGAGGAAGGGAAGCTCAGAATGAGAGATACAACTTTTACCTGCAAGACCAGGTTTTGAGTTAGAACTGCCAAGAATTAATGAGAAGCTCTTAGGTGATAATGAATGACAAAAACCATTGTTAGGCAATTTTTTGTCCTTTGGGTAACTCGCTAATGAGTTGTGCAACACAAAAAAACAAGAAAAGGTTGCTAAAGTTTATGGTCTAAATTTATAGCCCTGAGGCACCTTTGTCCTCTTTGCTTCCATTTCAGTCATTAGAAAAGTATTTCATTATTTTGGACCGTTCCATAATATCCTGTGTTCCACACGTACATTCAGTAAATTCAGCCTGGCTTCAGCATCATGTATCTATATCAGGTACTTGGGCTTTTGCTTGGGTATAGCTAAAAGTGGCTGAAGAAATTCATATGTACATCTATACATAATAATAATGTGCGGTCAAGTCAAATCTGACTCAGGGTGACCCTTTTCAGGGCTTTCCAGGTAGAGATACTCAGGAGGTACAGTGGGGAATCAAAGTTCCAACCTTTGGCTCCAGTCAGATACTTCAACCACTGAGCTTCTGAATTACAGAAGGTTTTATATACAGTATATTAATATATTTTATTATATTAGAAGTCGTTGATGCACACACACACACACACACACACACACACACACACACACACACACACACACACACACACACACCCCTAAATATATATATACCTAAACCACTAAGCTATCCTAAGAAGAAATAACTCACCAAGAATTAGGTGGAATACCAATAGAACTCTTTCAAGCCATACAGACTGAATATGTTAAAATCCTAAAAAGAATATGCCAGAAAATGCAGAAAACAAAACAATGGTCCACAGACTGGAAACATTCAATATCCATTCTAGTTCCCAGGAAAGGATATGCCAAAGAGTGCAGTACCTATAGGGGCATTGCTTTAACTTCCCATGCAAACAAAGTGATGCTAAAGATATTGCAACAAAGGCTTTTGCCTTACATGGAACAAGACATGGGTGTGTGCCTCAGCATTTGCTTGTCCTGATGAATAATCTGCATTGTGGATGAGAAACTACTGTTAGGACAGAATATTGAGAGACAGAATGGTTTCCCATAGGCAAAGGTGTCAGATAGCATGCATTTTATCCCCTTATTTCGTCAATCTGTATGCAGAACACATCATATGGAAAGCCAGTCTATATTTAGGTGAAAGAGGAGTGAAAAAGATGGAAGAAACACCAATATTTTAAGATGGATAGATGACACCATCTTACTAGTGGAAAGCAGCAATGACTTGAAATGACTTTTAGTGAAAGTAAAAGAAGGAAGTTCCAAAAACCGTGACTACAGAAGAACTACACAACTTTGATGTTAAGAATTAAGACATTGAAATAATGAAAGATTTTGTATACATTGGATCAATCACCAATCTAAAAGGGAGATTGCAGCCAAAAAAATCAGAAGACGACTGCAACTTGGAAGTGCAGCAATGAAGGAATTTCAAAAGATCATCAAGTGTAAGGCTATATCACTAGAGACCAAGATCATCCACACTATTGTGTATTTCCAATCACCACGCATAAGTATGAAAATTGGATAGTACAGAAAGTTGACAAGAAAAAAATTATTTGTTTGAAATATGGTTCTGGAGGACAACTTAATGAATACCCTGGACTGCCAGGAAGAAAAAAAAGGGGGTCCTAGAGCAAATCGAGCTTGAATTACTTCTGGAGGCAAAATGCTGAAGCTGAGGCTGTACTACTTTGGGCACATCACGAGAAGGCAGAATTCTCTGGAAAAGACAATAATGCTGGAAAAGGTTGAAGGCAGCAGGAAAAGAGGAAGACCAAACAGATTGATCAGCTCTTTAAAGGAAGTCACAGGCTTGAGTTTACAAGAGCTGAGTCCCTTCTAATTGAGGACACGACATTTTGGAGAGTGCTCATTCACAGGGCTGCCATAAGTCAGAAGTGACTTGAATGTGCATATCAACAACAGGCACAAGAAATCTTTAACTCTCCAGAATGGTTGAATCATAATTCCTATCCTGATTCTTTGGCTATTCTGACCAAAGCTGATGGGAGATAAAGTCCTACAGGTTTTCCACTCCTGCAATGGTCAGCTACAGAAGCTGGCTGGTGATGTTACTGGACTGCAGGAATGTAGATACTTATGGAGTGATAATGAAATCTTAAAAGTTCAGAGAAAATCCCACTTATGAGTAACATTTGGGGAAGAAAAAATGAGTTAAAGTCATTTTCAGACACAATAACCAAGCAGAAAAGCCTGAGAGAAGCCCATAGTGTGGAGATACCTTTAAAATGAATGGAGAAGAGTTAACATATTTTTCCATTTATAAGACGATACTTTTGTCTAAAATCTTTTGACTAAAAATCGAGGGTTGCCTTATATATGGAAAGAAGCTGAGGAGAGAACAAAATGGCCCATACCTTGCCTCTGCAAACAGGCTGCGTCCAATCACAAGGCTTAGCTTCCTACAGTCAGGAGACTTAGCTTCCTCCAATCACGAGCCTTATGTAACTGACATCAGCTGATGCCGAACAAACCAATTCCAACACACCTCATTGGCAGTGCTCAGGTGCAACAGGGGCTCATAATGTCCAAGAGTTTTGAACCCAGAGGCTGAATAAAGATAAAGTGTGATGCATAATATGGCAGTACTGGTATGTAAATGTTACCTAATTACTAAATAAGTATGTGTTCTGTTTTATGTTTAAAATATTGGTTTCTTAATTTTGGGTTAGAAAAGTGGGGGTGTCTTATACATGGGGCGTCTTATACAGTCGTGCCCCACTTTACGATTGCCCCGCATTACGACGAAACCACATTGCGACATTTTAGCGATTGGAAAACAATGATCTGAACGGGCTTGTTTTGCTTTGCGATGATCGGTTCCCTGCTTCGGGAACCGATTCTTCGCAAAACGATTTTTGGACAGCTGATAGCGGTTTCAAAATGGCACCGGGTAAATAAAATGGCTCCCCGCTGTTTTCTGGGATGGAATCCTCGCTGCACAGGCACCAAAAATGGCCGCCCTATGGAGGATCTTCGCTGGACGGTGAGTTTCCAGCCCATTGGAACACATTGAAGGGGTTTCAATGCGTTTCAATGGGCTTTTTATTTTCGCATTACGACGTTTTCGTTCTACAGCGATTTCGCTGGAATGAATTAACTTCGTAATGTGAGGCACCACTGTATATGGTATGTATGTATGTATGTATTTATTTATTTAATTTATATCCCCCCTATCTAGTCGCGGTGGACTACTCTAGGTGGCCAACAGCAGAGATAAAATACAATGACATAAAACAGCATAATTACAACAACAATTAAAAGTAGGGAAACAATAAAGGAAAGAAGAAAATCAAAAGTTATCTGGTGAGAAGGCCTGCTGAAACATCCAAGTCTTTAATAGGTTCTTAAAGGTGCCCAGCGAGGGAGCTCCGTGAATACCAGGAGGTAAGTTATTCCAAAGGCGAGGAGCCACCGCCGAGAAGGCCCTATTTCTTGTTTTCTCTTTTCGGGCCTCCCTCGGCGTTAGGCTCCTCAGCCTCACCTCCTGGCTCGCCCGTGTGACCCGGGTAGAACTTGGTGGGAGTAGGCATTCTGCCAAGTATTGAGGCCCTAAACCATTTAGGGCTTTGTACGTAAGCATTAGCACTTTAAAGTCGATGCAGAACCTGATGGGCAGCCAATGCAGTGCGGCCAGAGTGGGCAAAATATGTTGGAATTTTTTCACTCCACTGAGTAATCTGGCCGCCGCATTCTGCACCACCTGTAATTTCCGCAGCAACCTCAAAGGAAGCCCCACGTAGAGCGCATTACAGTGGTCTAATCTTGAGATTACGAGCGCGTGTACTAAGATGGTGAGCGCCCCCACATCCAGGTAGGGCCGCAGCTGGGCTATCCGCCTAAGGTGAAAAAAGGCAGCGCGGACCATCGACACCACCTGTGACTCCATGGAGAGCACCGGGTCCAGATGGATCCCCAAGCTGCGTACACCATCCTTTGCAAGGAGAGTCACCCCCCCCAAAGGAGAAGGAGTTTCCCAAATCCCCAACTGTGGGAGGGCCCACCCACCCTCAGTACTTCCGTCTTGTCCGGGTTCACACGGAGTGAGAAAATGAGAATCCAGCTAGTAAGCATTAGCCAGGAACAGTACAGTTGGGTCTTGACTTGAGAACTTAATCCGTATTGGAAGGCGGTACTCAAGTCAAAAAGTATGTAGGTCAAGTCCCCATTGACCTACAGTGCATTGAAAACCGATTAATCCCGTAACAGGCCGTTTTTGTTCCATTTTTTTTTTTCTGGTCTGTAAGTCAATTCTCAGGCTGCAAGTCAAACCTAAATTTTGCGGCCAGAGAAGTCTGTAACTCAAAAAGTCTGTAAGTCAAGCCGTCTGTAAGTCAAGGGTCCACTGTACTAGCAAAAGTCAGCATTGTCCTTAATGCTGAGCAAGGGAATTCACTGTCATCTTGCAAGTACTCCATATCTATTTACTTCCATTCAAGACTTTGAGGAGGTACAGAGCAAAAGATACCTAAGAACATATAAATGTATCAGTCATTATGTTTGCCAGAATCTTTTTTTTTTTGCCCCAATCTGCACATCATTTAAAAAATATTGAATATTTTTACATCTCTTTCTATTGGAACAACTTGCTCATGATCTAAACAACTCTGTAAATACAGATGCAAATAAATACAGGAGAATCACATACAGAGCCAGAAGCTTCTGCAAAGGTTCTACTGCAGCTGCTACTCGCATGGTTAACAAGGCAAGCTTCCCATTTTAAAAATAGCTTTTTTTGGCATTGAAATACAGAAGAGCTATGATCATGACAGATTTTCTAAAATAATGACTATCAATTTGAACCTCATGTGAAGTAATGCAGCCCAACCAATTAATACTTACAACAGAAAGCACATACAGGAAACGTCTTGCATTCTTGTTAGCGTGGCAAACTTCCTTGAGTTTCTTGACAATATATGCTACTTTTTCTGATTCCTCCTCAGCTTGTAACTCACTCAGACCATCCAGTGACACATTTGAAAGCTGAAGGGCATCAGCCAAAGCTTTCCAGTCGTAAATTCCCTCTGACACTGTGGACAAGATTGCTGAATAGATATAAGTCAGTTTTTTAAAAGGTAATGCAATTTGTTCCACAAGGCCATTGGTTGAGATTGTATTGTCCTCAGTATCCATTACTTGGTCTTTAGTTATGATTTTGATATTTTTGCAGTGTACAAGGCCGACTTTTCTTCTGAGTACTCCTACGTACCACTCTTTTACTTTAGTCTGCCCAATGGCTTTGATCTTGTCTTCACCAAGAAGTGCTATCGTATCACCTTTAAAGTATTCAAGCAAATAATCAATTTTACTTTGACGTAACACTGTTTTCAAAGCCACCCCATAGTTGGTAACATGTAAATCCCTCTCTTGAAATGTAGGATATTTTCTGGCTGGCACTGACAACAATGGTGCCAATTTTCTCTCCTTGTGTTTTTCTAATTGGTTTGGCTGACTGAATATGCCAGTTAATGGCTTTGGGGCTGGTTGAGGAGTTGTAATATAGAACTGGCAGACCAAGTTGTTGTTTGGGACTTTGACCTGAACACGGAAAACAAAGACATGTATCTTTCTTGTACTGATGACTGAAAATTGGAAGTGCTGGTGAATCACTGGGCCACCTCCTTTCAACATTCCCTCCTTAATTTCTTTCCCTTGATCTTCTTCCTTCACTTCAAAATCTGGGTCGCAGGAGGTCACAAAAATATTTAAGTCTTGTGGCTTCTCAAGTACAAACGTGTGTTTCCCCCATAGCTGGAAAACAACTGGGGGCATACTCTTTCCACCCTTTTTAATGTCACACACTGTAAGCTTCTCTGGAACATACGTGTGGCCAAACAGGGCAAAAACAACAGTGAATGAAGGGTGGATGTGTTTGGGCCCATAAATTCCAACTGAAAGTTTTCTGTGAATATATTCCCAAGCACTTGCAGGAGAATTAACTGTATTTGTTTGCGCTACAATCACAATGTACATGAGGTGACTTAAGTCGGTCAGCTTTACCTGGATAGTATCTTTATAGAGGTAACAGCTGTGAACTTTTTGAAAGGGCCCTTCCTTATTTGAACCACACAGGCATGTGATTTCAGTCATTACCTGGCTAAAAGGGTCCTTCTTGACTTCAGCAGCAATTTTCATTTCTAGTAAAATGGCTTCTGTGGTATTGAGGTTACTTAATGTAAGTTTAATCAAGGGACTCACAGTGGTTGAAAACTCATGGTTCAGTGATGATGGAGAGTCAAGGATAGCCTGTAACCCAACCTCTTGGAATTCTCCAAAAGGCACATGTCCTTCAGGGAAATGAACAGCAATGTCTGAATCTGGAAGCTGTACTGAGCCACCTTCATGGTTCACTTTGCACACTATATGTGTCTCTATGGACTGCGTTTGTGCCCATCCTGGACTCTGATTTATCGCATTCAAATCCAAGAAAGATCGGGCTAGCTGCCTTTGATTTAACCATGCTGTCTTATAGGCTTCACGATCATTCTGAATTGATTCAATCTCTGGAGGTAGAATATGGTTGACTGGCCTTGTACTAGGCGGCTCAAAAGGCTCAAATGTCTTGGTACATACAATATCCAAAAGATCTGAAGCACTCCTAGATTTTGAAGATATCCTTGATGCTTTATGAAGAAAAAGATAATCAATATTTAATTCATCTCCAGATGAAGCAGCAGAGTCCCTGTCATTTGAATCTCTAAAAAATAAATAGGGATCTTCTTTTAAGATAGATACACGCTTGTTACTTTTCTCTTTGCTGCTTAACTGAGCAACATCGTCTAAAAATGGGTTGGATGCTGACAGTTCATTCCAAAATGGGTTTGTCTTAAACATACCAGGGACCACTTGCTTAAATTCTGCAGACCAGAGGGACTTCTCATCCATTTTATATTCCTTGTTACCTGTTTCAAAAAGAAATAGTGATAAGTATCCCTTCTATGCATATGTTCTGACTGTATAATGCATATTCCCAAATATGATTTCTGATGTCAGTTTGCCAGGAATAATGTGGAGGAAAAGACCCTGTACAGTGTATTCACATGTGCATCTATCGAGGGACTGAATGTAATGCATTCAATCATACATTTTCATCCCACTTACATCCTCTTTTCTTAAGCCTATGGCTTCAGCTCCATGCTGGAAACTGACCATGACCATTTAAAGACAGTTAAACAAGTGTGACCAACCTAGGAAAAATAAATTTGCAAGTAAGAGGAGTTTGCTGACTCAGGCCTTTCTCTCACTTCCACTGTTCTCCTCACATGACGAGCAACATTTTGAAGAGGTGGGCCTCGTTAGTGCTTAAGAGATCACCACACACCCCAGAAAGCTGGAAAAATTAGCATTAAGGCTCTCCATAACACCAAAAGAGAGGGAAGAAAAATAATGTTGAATTGCCTAGGCTACAGACAGAAGAAATTCCTTTTTCATAAAGTTGTTCTCCATTTGAGGATAGAAATAAGCAAGGACAAGCAGGCCTGGGATACTTCTCCTCTTTCCCCTCACATGCTTCTTTCCCCTAGACCACTTTGGGTCCCCAGATATTCTTGGACTAAAACTCCCAGAAGCCTTCACCACTAGCTGTGCTGGCCAGGATTTCTGGGAGTTGTAGTCCAAGAACATCTGGGGACTCAAGGTGAGGAACCACTGCCCTAGACTAATAATACTTCAGTTATGGTAGTACTGTTTTTGTATAGGTTTTATTTTGGGCAGAATATGTTAATGTCCTTGAGATGCAGCTGCATACTGTTACTCAGGCAAGGTAAGGCTACAGAACTATGTGCACTTTCCTGAGATTCAGCCCCCCCTTGAACACAGTGGGATTTGCTACAAAATAGAACTGAGCTATTGGATTGCAATCCACATCTCTTCACCTGGAAGCAAATTGCATTAAACTCAGATTTACCTCTAACCAGATACTTGTTTCTTATTGCCCATGGTCTGTGTTGGTGCCTTTTGAGTACAGCAGCACACTGAAGATACCCGTGTTAGTATAAATCTACTGTATCTTCTATTACTTCTATTACTTCAACATTTCTATTACTTCTATTACTTCTATTACTATATTTAGAATTTAGAAACATATTTATGACTTCTTTTCTGTTCTGTTGAAGACCTTTGGAAAATTTAATTTGTTTATATTTTAAAGAATCGAGAACATGCCTGATTTTGATGATAAAACAGTAAAATGCATAAAATAGATGCCCTGTTCTTGTAGCTTATTGTTTTATTATTTATTTTTTCTGCCTACTATTATTACCACAACTATTTACATAGAACGTCATCTGCACAAGACATACTCAGTGAGATCCAGTTGTGGATGTGTGACTGACATAGCAGATCTTCCCACCAGTTCCTTGAAAATGATACACAGAGTGTCGATGGAACATGTCAAAAGGGGATAATAGTGGTACTTGGGATTCCTGAATGGATGCTGAGGCTGAGATAACTTCCACAAGCTGAGTCCTTCTGTCAACAGAAGACAGATGCTAAATCCAAATTAGTAAAAGAAATGAAACTTGCTTCAAACTTCACAAACCTCTTGTCCACAGTATTATACTTTTAATATACATTAATATAAACAATGAATAAAATTCTGCATGGAAATATAGGCTCGTGACAACATACCTTTCCAGTCATTTCTTGCAGATTTTCCATCATCTAGGTCAACCAGAGATCCCTCTGATTTACTCCATGAAAGATCTTTTATATGACATGAAGCAGACATTTTCTGTCCTAGCAGATTTAAGATATATTGGTTACACATTGAGAAACAATTAGAATTACAAAGCTGTCATTCACTGGGTGGTATGGAAATAAATAGGTAGAGCAAATGTGAGCAAAGCTTGACCTCCAAAATGTTGATGAGTTGTACTCCTATCTTATCTCACCATTGGCCATGTTGGCTAAGGCTGATAAGAATCTGAGTCCAACAACATCTGAAAGGCCACAGGTTTCCCAGGCTTGGTTTACTAGATTCCCTGAAAAGGGATCCATTAATTTCCCAACAGGGAGTCACTGACTTAAAGCTAATGCACTGCTCAAATAACTCACCCACAGTCCTTAAGTCATGTTTTGTGTAATTGCTTATTGAGTATACAGTCAACCCATGTATGGAGGGAGGCATGTCATGAAACAAGGTGCCAGATACGGTAGCACAAGGGCTGTTCTCACAGGCCTAAACCCAACAGCCCCAGTTAGGGTAGATGCACTGAATTAATCAGTGCTTGGTAAGTAAATAGTCTGGTAAGTTCCACTGACTCAGTAAGCCTACTCTACAAGAGATTAACAATTTGATTTAGACCATAAATCCTACAGGCACAAACATGACTTGTTGCCACTGATAAAGAAAATATCCCAATCAATTTAGCTGCTAGAGGTATACTATAAAGAAGAAGAAAGCCAGAACATGAATGGGTTAAAATTATGAGAAAAGAAAATTTAAGATATGGTTTTAGATTTTAAAGGCTTAGAAAAAATGGTGTGAAGTAAGCTCAGTAAGAAACATATCGACAAATGTAATAATGATATTTATACTGTTCTCTATCACATTCTGTATTTTTTATTTATCCCAATACCCTAATCCAAATCCCCTTCCCTATGATCTTCCCTTACCCAATCAAAAATGAATGAAATGTTTTTTTTTTAAAAGAAGAAGAAGAAGAAAAGCTAGGTCATGAAAGTTTCTAGAAAGTTTAAGAGAGGGAGCTCTCCCAGAAGTGAGAACTACAGGAAAAAGTTCCAAATCCTATATACATTCACCTGAGAAAATCTCACTGAGTAAAATCCCGCTGAATTTAATAATATTTACTTCTATAGAAAAATATAGTCTTGCATTGCATGGAACAGAGAGATACAAGCTACAATGAGTGATTATGCCATTTGTTCTATGGTCAGTTGATGTTTGAGCATACCAGGACAGTTGCTTATGGGCTACAAACAAAAACTTGAAAATTTACATCTGTTAGAGGCCATGCCCTCAACAGACAATATTTGATTTCCATTTAGACAAAAGATGTTACACCTCTGTTTCAGAGGCGGATTTACATATGTTTTGAAAGCTAAAAGCTGCTACTTGTAAGAGTACTTTGTTTCTTATTGCCCATGGTCTATGTTGGTGTCTTTTGAGTACAGCAGCACACTGAAGATACCCGTGTTAGTATAAATCTACTGTATCTTCTATTACTTGGCTCATGATGGGCAAACTAAGATTTTGTGACCATGATGAGCTGTGGAGAAATATCTGCACAGCTCACCAGCAGTGCAGAAACAATAGTAAATAGCTGCAATGATTTTTTTTTGCAGAACCAGCAATACAAAGCTGGTTTTACAGTTTACCCATCAGCAAAAGGACTTCCAGAGACTGCCAGAGAGAGATAGAGAGAGAGAGAGACTTGGTTCCCTATTCCCATCTGCATTGCTCAATTTTATTGCTAGAGTTCTAGTAATACTAATAAAAATATATCAGACTTAAGGAGAAGCATACTTTTTTCAATCAAGCACCTCTTGGATTTTGATTATGTTTTCTCTTCTATATCTTCTTCATATTGGAAATGGCAAGAGTAGAATAATTTTTAAAATGTCCACTCAGAAGTATTCTGCATGAGTCAACAGGATGAACTAACTGTGCAACACAACATAAAAACAATTAATATTGAGTGGACCAAAACATCACACTGCTGATATTGCTACGTCAAATATATATTACTGAATAAAAGGAAACGTTGCCATCCATTCCTGAATTCACACCAGGAAAAAATGATTTAAAAAAAAGTATGCAGGATAAATATGGGGACAACTTGGATTTTGTTACCTACATGCAGATTACAAAATAACATTCTGCTGTTCTAAACGAAGATAACAGTAATACTGTATTCTTCAATGATTGTCTGTCAGGCTGTTTATGTAGATATAGTAAAGAAAAAACTGCCAGAGAAAAAATAAATGGGATAGCATATCAGAAAGCAGACAAACAGCTGCTACACAATGCATATTCTACAAAATGTAACCCAAAGAAGGCATTTATAGAGGGAAAATATAATGACAACAGAGATGCATTGACTTCAAACTTTTGCTTGTGTGTACCACATAAACGAACAGTGCAAACTATTTCCTGCCTCCACATTAAAAAAAAAATTAGTAGATTTCTACCTTTGAGTTTAAACATTTTTAATGCAAGTAAACACAAACTGGCAAGTGGGAAGAACTTTATTACGAAAAAAGGCTCATTGAAATTTCAAACTACTGAGACACCTCTATCATATATGCCTGTCATGAGTCAAGGATTTCGGTGAAGACCATTCTATACACTGGCTTCTGTTTTTCTACAAGCAGAAAGATTAATCCTCACATCAGGAAAGGTTCACATTGGACTAGTTATAATAAATGTCCCACCAAAGTGAGATGTGGATTTTATAACAAAGACAAGAAGGGAGAAGAAGGGTGTTGAAGGGTGCTTTTCTTCAGTAGGCAGTCTCTAGTGGTCCAAGTGTCATGCACACCCATCTCTGAACCCAGGAAGGCTACTCACATTCTCAAAAACACATAAGAACTTTCTGAGCAATCAAAATGTTAAAAAGATTTTTTAATTATTGGGAGGCAGTCTGTACACTGTGTATATCTCATGGGCCACTGTCCATAAAGAAAGCTTTTGTGTGGGCATTCAAAATATAGACATCTGAAACAGCCAAAGGTTATGCACATAAATCTGATTCTTGGCACTTTTGAACAATTTTACTGAATTTCAGAACCCTTAAAGGTAGTTAACATCCAAAAACTACCATCCAACTTGGACCACAATTTCCAGTGTAGTATAGTGAATCTGTCGTCAAGTCGTATCCGACTTGATAGTGAATACAGGGAGGAACTAGGGCTTGAGAATAGGTTTGAATCCCCATTCAGCCACAGAAACTCACTGGGGAAGTGGAACTGGTAAAACCACTCCTTAAATATCTCACTTTTCTTGAAAGCTCTATTAGGGTCACTATTAGCTGGTCCTGACTTGATGGCACGTAACATACACACAACTCCGGCCACAAAAACAGAAGTTTAACACCCTCAAGACTGAAATGTTCAATTAGAACTCAAACTGTAGATTTAGTTTTGTATTGAATTATATAAATCAGATTTTCTGAGTCCACATGAATACATTCTAGCAGTTCCTCCATTTAAGAGAGGCACAGGGAAGCCTCTGTGCTGCAGGGTCAGAAGACCAGCAGTTAGTTGTAAGATCGAATCTACGTGACAGAGTGAGCTCCCGTCACTTGTCCCGGCTCCTGCCAATCTAGCAGTTAGAAAGCATGTAAATGTGAGTAGATAAATAGGTACCACCTCGGTGGGAAGGTAACGGTGTTTCATATCTAGTTGCGCTGGCCACGTGACCACAGAAACTGTCTATGGACAAACGCTGGCTCTATGGCTTGGAAACGGGGATGAGCACCGTACCCTAGAGTCGGAAATGACTGGACTAAATGTCAAGGGGAACCTTTACCTTTATCTATGGAACCTGAAGCTCTGGATAAGTGCTAAGGCTACAAGCCCTGTTAGTCTGTACAAGTACAACTGACCGAAGTTGCGCTAGATCAGTAGTGATAATAGCTTAAATATATCTCATTTATGAAGGAGACAAGGGGCTGTAGATTAATGGTAGAGGACTTGCTTCACATGCAGACAATCCACAGCACCTCCAGGTAGGGCAGGGAAATCTCCTGGTTGACCCCCTACAAGGGCTGCAGCCTGTCAGTGTGGACAATACTGGGCCAGAAAAAGTCAATAGTCTAACTTATAGTAAGGTAGTTCTTCATGTTCCTTCTTGCGGAAGCCATATAACTGCATAGGAGCCAAAAGCCTTTGTTACAGAGACCTACAGGGCAGTAATTTTAACAGGGGAGATTTTCTTTCCATCATCACCACTAAAAGTTCCCTACAGTTGGTTTGCTGAAGCAAATGTGTAGAAGCTACACAAAGAATGCAGTTGTCTGCTTTGCAGTTGCCTCCATGGTAACACCTCAGAGGTATAGTTCACCACTGCCAGATTTACTTTCCCACCAAGAACATTTCAGCCCATGCTATTAAAGAGCTGTTACCCAGAAAGCTCACAGCACCTGCTTCAAATTTAAAGAATGCTCTGCTGCCAGAAGTGGGACTGAGGAGACCCCTTTCTTTTGGACAGTATTGCTAAAATTGCTAAGACTGCAGACAAAAAAAATATGTGAATCACTTTATTCTTGCAGGTTTAGAGAAGTTCATGCATATTATGCTACTGGAAGCAACTGGACAGCCAGATAAATTAAGAATGACCCCCAGGTGTGTTCAATACAGTTGTCCATGTGCCTGGTTAGTAACAAACAAAACAAGATATCTCTTCAGAAAAATTGGTAGCAGAAATCAATCTTAGCATTTCTTACACATTCTGGGTAGGAAACAACAGCCACATTTGCTTGAACAATGAGCAGATATGCTATGTCTCTTCAGAATTGCATGCTATTGCTATTTTCTGCTTCTAATCATAGGAACAATCAATAATCACAATTTCAAGAGGTATGTATCCATAAGGCTCCCTTAACACTGCTCAACACTGATGAAAACTTGTGATACAGATATATTATAAGGATGCCTTAGATTTCAAACTTTCAGAATGTAATAGTACTAACTGATTATTCTAGAGTTACTCTAGACGCAAATCACTTTTTATTTAAAAACAAAAACAGAATTCAGACAAGGGCACACTGCTCATA